GAGGAAAAAAAGTCTTGATTAATCGATGAATCTTGTCTGAGTCAGAGCAAACCGCCTTTCCAAGGATGATGGAGAAAGAGAAGGGCAAAAGCCCCAACTCTGACAATTGAAGGCAACTTAGAGACTGAAAGGCTGTCACTCCATACCTAGGGAAGAAGAGGGCGCACTGCGTGCCCCAATCTAGGACTGGACAATAGACTTTCATTGGCACAGCACAATAACTACATTCAATGTAAGCGTGACTCGCTAGGAATTTGTATTCTTGTTTAAGTGAATCTTCGAAGGGTATGTTTTTAAAGAACTAAGCTTTAAAAGAACCATAATTTTTGCCATCTAGTGTGATTCTCTTTGAAGGAGATGGAGGCCTGGGGTGAAAGTGAATTCTCCCTACCCCAGGTAGCAGTGCCTAGGGGTAGGTGGGAAGTAGGCAAGTCCGTTGGCTCTGGGACCTTTTTTCCTCACCACACCTCACCACAGTTTCAGCAGCCATCACTTTGTATTGTCACTGTTTCCTTTCAAATGACTTTGTTCTCACCTGTCCTCCATCAAAAGCAAAAACCATTACATGATTTCATAATGTAATCCCTCAATTATTTTTCCCTTTCTTTTTTCTTTTCTTTTCTCTCCTGCTCCCACTGCCTTGCTCTCTTAAAGAGGAAAATGCTTCATCTCCTGGGTGAGGGTCTCTCCTACAATGTACAGCCTAATGATTAAACTGCATATTCAATGGCGTTGCTGTACACGGATGGATGAGAAGATGAAGCTGAGTTGCCCATAACTCAACCAAAGACAGACTGAAAACGTAGGAACTCAAGTAAGAAAAAAAAAAAAAAACGTAAGAGGTGGGTGTATGGTTAAAGCCTAGGGCTCAAGAAGATGCTGGGCAACAAACACATCTATAATCCTAGCACGTAGGAAGCTAAGGCAGGAGAAGTCAAGTGTAAGGCAAATATGGGCTTCATGGTGAGATCCTGTCAAAAAAAAAACCAAAACAAAACAAAACAACATTCTAACAAAACCAAAAAACGAAACAGCCAAATTAGCAGATGAGTCAAAAATGTTCAGCAGCCTGTAGATAAAGTAAAGGGCAGCATTCTGACGGCTGGGACAGAGTCGAATTATAAGGTAAATAAAAATGAATGGTATGTTTATGGAATTTATTGTGTCCTCTGATGAAGGTCTGAAAAGACAAGTGCCTTTAAAAAAAAAGATTTAATTCTCCACTTATATAACGGGTTTTAAGAAAAGTCAAAAGCGCCCTGGGATAGTGTTCCCACCCTTTGAGGCTGACCACAAACTGGGGAAGAAGCTCAAAGCCCTCTCCAACGGGAGCTCAACAGTCCTCAGGACAACGGGTCAGACTCTCTTAACAAGTCTCAAGTTCCCGCTGGAGAGCCGGCAATCTGTCTATCAATCTGCTCAAGTGGCTGGAAACCAATGGAGGGAAAGAAAGACAGCCACCACTCAGCAACCTCACTTCTCCTCTCCCCACATGAAGAGGCCACTTTACTAGCCCAGGGTTTCCCATGGAACAGGGACCTCTAGCTTCTAAAGCAGCTGGTAAGGCTGAAGTGAATGAATTCCTGCTTCACAACTAAAAATATCTTCCAGAGGTGATATGCTACTTCAAATTTCCATTCATAGCAGTATCACTGTGGAATGGGTGAGTAGACCATGGTCAGCAGACCAGCCAGACACCTTACCCACCACAATCATTTCATCCTGACAGGCTATTATCAGTTACAGGTAAGCTCCAAAATGACAAGAAAAATGCAAAAGGATACAGAGAGCACAAGTTTAGAGTCCTAAAATGTCAGCCAATACTTGAATGAAACCATTCACTGTGGAGTGCTCGCCTCTAATTCCTGTTGAATTGCATAAAACAAAGTTTTGCATGAACAACTAGCCTTGAAATTCAATATACACACCTGCAACTTAACTTTCTCATAGACTAAGTGTACTATAGAAATGATGCTTAAGTAAGTATCTAATAAAGAGATAAATGTATTTTTATATCTTCAACCAGCTTAACCTTGAAGAATTATAGCAGAACTCATTTCAACAGATAAGTTTAAATCAGTACCAATGAGCTCATCTGACATTTATATTCTTGGAGAAGCTGGCACAGTGATTAACACTTTTAACAATTTGTCTCCTTCTTCAGCAAAACCTGGAGCCAAGGCCATGACCACAGTCAAAGGGACAGTGAGTCTGTGTGGTCAACTGTCCAAAACTGCTGTGTGGCATTACAGCCGGCTCTGCATGTAGATTCCCCTAACCATGGGACAAGGGCCATGAACCCCGGGAGAGAATTTAGGCTTGGGAACAGACCAGGGAGTAGGCATCAGGGGGTGAAAAATTCCTTGAGGGAGGCAGATGTTCCAAGAACTAGTAAATAGTTGATAATTGTGACTTCTATGACATAATGCTCTCACAAGATAAAGACCCCAGTGGCCATTGTTTCTTCTAAGAACAATGGTTTCCAGTTAACACATGACACCCTCTGTGAGAGGATGCAGTGCCCCAACCTGGAGATAATACACACTCATGGAATTAAAGGATTACTGGGCTACCGGATGTCCAAACACTGCCAAAATGTGAAACCATGGGAATAATGAAAGTGCAAGCCACAGCAGTACTGGAAGTCGAAAGGACATGGTGGCTCTGTTCCACACAAAGCTCCCGTGTCAATCATCTGGACCGCAAGGGCAGGCTATATTAACGACCTTGGGCAGGCTAGACTCCAAATCCTTAATCATTTTTTGTGTGACAAGAAATTAGGAATCGAAGTATATCCTGAAGGACCAGCGCCATTCCCCCCACCATCTCCAGACCAAAGCACCGAAAGAGCAAAGGTTCAACGTTAAGTAAAGACCAAAGCAATGCATTTATTAAATGAGCATCCTTTAAACTGGAAATTTCATCATCACTTTATTTTATTTATTTATTATATGTATTTTATTATACTTAAATAAGTATGCATGTATTCTATACAGCTTGGGCACTACAGTGAGAGAAAAGGGGTCAGAAAAATAAATAGACCACTGCTAACAGATAGACTGATGGAGCCAAGCACAAAGGAATAAAGAGCCCAGTCCTTAACTAGACAGCTAAGTTGACTACAGCCTGTGGTGGTAAGCTTACTGGTCCTAGGAAATGGAAGAAAGAGACTGGAGTAAGGAAGTCTCTGTTGGTCTCCAATCTGGCCCTAACTGGGCCATCGGGCTTGTTTGTCAATTGTGATAAAAAGCTACCAACAGCCCTGGGCAACTAGGAGCTTGAAAGAGCCCAGACCACAGCACGGGTGCAGCCCAAAAGCTGCTTCCCAGACTGCGGTGCAAGGGCACTCCGACTGTACACTCTACATGAATATTCGGCTGGTAATCAAAGGGTGGCTGGGGCTGTGCACAAATGTTAATGCACAGTTCACACTGAAAAACAAAAAACAAAAACAAAACAAAACAAAAATTATGCACCCTCATGCACAGCCACAGAATTTGAAGACTCCCAAGAGACCTTAAAGATCTTCCAGTTCAGCTCTCTCTTAAAATGACCCAAAGCTATTAGGCAATGCAACTGAAGTTAAAAACAAGTTAGTGGCTGAAGCAGGGGCCCCAACTCTCCCCACAGTTTAGTCAATGCTTTTTCCACTCAGGGAAGGTGACCTTGAGGACTGGTAAACGACAAAGGCACAATTGTACTGGTCACTACACCGTCAGAAACAGGTAAGTCCTATGCAGCAGCAACACCCATTAAGCCATGCACAGCTGAAATTTTGAGAGGGAAGAAAAAAAATAAATGAATGATTTTTTAAATTAGCATTTAATTGCAGAAGCCCTTGCTTTAATCTGGGCTTTGGCTGGCAGTCCTTTGCTTCAATCCCAGTGAGATCTATGCATTGTGTAACTTATTAAAAAGGGAAGGCCAAACAGATCTGGAAAAGTACAGCTTTACCCTTGAACTTAATTTATACTATAGTGTACTGTAATTAAGCCTGAAATAAAAGCTATATTCTGAGGAGAGACAAAAAGCTCTTGTTAATGGCATTCCATTCCCAGTGTAGAATAAAACAAAAGGCTTCTTTATGCGGAGCCAACTGTCATTATACTTTGTAGCTTGTATGGTGCTACTGGACTAATATTTGTGCTGGGATTAGCGTCGGGATAACCCATCAGTTAACTCCTCCACTGCAGTTTTATCCTGAAATAAATGGCCAAAAGGGAAAAAAAATGAAAGTGGGAGGCAGAAAGACAACTATATTTATGAGATTAAGTTCTAAAACCCTTCACAGTTTGCTGGGTAACTAATAACCATTTACTAAGCTGTTCATTTAATAATGAGTCAGTTAAGCCCAAAGCAAATGCTCCTTCAACCAACCAATGCTACTGTAGTCGGAGCTACCCAGACAAGCTCCAGCTATTTATTGATTGATTGATTGATTGATTGATTGATTTATATAAGTGCTTCATTTCCAGTGGAGATACAAGGGAACCACATAAGAGTAACAAACTAGTATCGTCAGCCAAATGCAATCTATAGTACATTACAAAAAAAAAAAAAAGAAAAAAACCCGAAAACTTAAAGTTGTATATGATTTTGTGACTTATAAAAGCAGAAATGACCAAAAAAAAAAAATACTTCTGGAGGAATTCATCGCTGTGTCATGAACTCTTAGATAAGGCCCAGAAGAAGGCGGACATCTGAACTCTGGGGTCAGAAATCACATGACCTCAGGTCAGCATGTGGAATGTGCTCCTTTGTATATAGAATGTGTATAAAATGGAGTGTCACACTGAGACCACTGGGGCTGTGCAGCCTGAAAACTGCACATCACAGCTACTTATTCATGAGGCAGAGAACAACTCAGGGTTGTGGTAGATTCCCAAGAAACACTATCCACCAACACTATGCTCTCGTCTCACCCATCTCCACAAGCCCAGGTCTTCTTCCTGCTTGCCCAGGAAGAGCCAGCAGCAGGCATCCCCTCCCCTCATACTCACTAATAGCTCATCCATACTCGTCTGGCATTTTTCCAGGTTGATCCGCTTTATGGCTACACGTTCTTGCCTGGGTTTGCAGAGGGCTGCCTGAACCACGGCCGTCGCTCCACTGCCTGAAACAAAATAAAAAACATCAGCCATCAAATGGCACCAGGTTATCACCGTGTATGCACCTCTTTTTTTAAAATGTCTGTTATTTTAAGGCTCTGACTGAAGGGATTCAACGTATTACCAGTGACATCTTTGAAGAAGCCCTTCAGTCCAAGAGGAGCAAGGTTTCCAGGTGTCTCTCTGAGGACACAACTACACGTCTATATCACGCTCGGCCTCCATGTCTCTGCAACCCAAGCCAGTTGTTCCTGAGCTACTTCAGGACTTCCCCGAGCTCCTGAGGGTTAACATCCTGAACACTCCCAGGGATTCAGCTCTTGCTCTCCAATTAAGAAAAGAGAAATCCGTCCTAGGTTTCTCTTGTTTAAAACGCAGCTCTTAAGGATTTTGTCAAACAAAATAATGCAAATGTGTCATTACAAAAGTTCTTGGCACTCATGGAAATTTCATGTTTTTAAGGTCTCTTGATCATTAGCTAATGCACTCAAACTCCTAAAAGATGGAGGCACATTGTTATCTGTGTTTTATAGGAACAGAATGTAGAGGGGTAACGATTTATGGCACAATACCAAGAGCCTCTAATCAGATTTCTATTCCATCAGGGCAAAAGACCCCAGAGTAAGGCATCTTAATTCCACAGATGAAACCAAAAAATGGCCTCCCAAGCACATAAATTCTCTCCTACTCCTAGACATCCAATAAAAGAACGCAGCCTGAGCCCAGGACTGTCCAAAAGGGGACAGATGTGACTCTCTAACGTTCACTGGAAGTGCTAATTTAGGAAAGGTGGTGTGCGCCCCCGCCCACATCAGCTGGGGACTGCTGACCTAGGTAGTTAGGGACCTGGAGGACCTGCTCAGTGCTCCCACCCGGTTCTCTCCCTTCAAGGCTTCCACACACAGAAGCCCAAGCTATGTGAACCCCATGTGCTGACCACCTCGGCAAGTAGCATTATAGCCCTAAAATTCCCATTAAAGCTTGAATGTTTTTATTATATCAGCCTCATTTTATATGTGAGAAAATGGGAACCTGGCAACATCGTCCAAGGTCACATAGCTACTAAGGAAGTGCCTGGGCTGGGATCTGAGTCAGTGTGCCAGACGCCCACATCTGTGCTGCTTGTCTACTTCCCACAAGCCAGAGCACAGTCCGCCCTTCCTCGCTTGCTTTGGTCTTGCCAGGAAAATATTTCTTCAGTACTCAATGGCTCAACCAAAGAGAACCAACCTAGAGAAAAGCGAGCCTCCCTTCCAGGAACAGGAAGAGTACTACTGTGCCACATGGCCTTCCTCTCCCAAACTCAGGGCCTTGGTGAGCCTCAGTCCCACCAGGCTGGCCTCACAGACCACAGACTTGGGTTAGATACAGAATGTTCCAGATATCAAGTCAAACACTACAAAGAGTCCTGCTGATAGCAAAATGTGTTTTCAGGTCCCCAGAACAAGAGACTGTCATTGAAGGGAGCCACAGAGAAAGTGCTGAGGAGCTGGTTAGCAGTGGCCCTGGGACCCAGCAGAGAAATCGACAAACATTTTAACTAGTGGCTGGCAGTGTGCCATATCACTGACCATCAGTTTCCCTATCCCTCTACTCTTCCCATAATACTCAGTCCCGAGTATTGTCTAATCAGAGTAACTGAAGAACAGAAAGCAAGCTAGCTCCCAGAAAGGACCCAACGGGTGGATATAACATCAGACCTTCCCATCTGCCCTTGACTTACAAAGCCAGACTTCCACTAATACATTTAGGAATGTGGTCACAAATAAGAACTCTCAAAAGCAGAAGAAGTGAGAAGTCTCTGGCTCTATGAGACTCTTACTGCATTAGAATTACAGCCAACTAAAGAGTCATGGCTTTATCTCTACACAGTAACTATGAAGCTCTATGGCAGAAGCCCACTGCGATAGCAAGAAAGGATATAATCATCTACTGAACGCTAGGAGCTTTCACTCTGAATCCAGAAGATACCTTTATCTACGAAAGGCAAGTTAAAAGGAGAGGGGATCCTAAAGACCAAGTCTACCACCTCACAGTGAGGCAGAAGAGAAGGGATTTTTTTTTCCTTCCTGCAATAATTGTAAAACATAGGCTTGGAACTTCAGAACAAGGCATGCCAGTTGTGGTGTGTGTGTGTGTGTGTGTGTGTGTGTGTGTGTGTGTGTGTGTGTGTGTGTGTGTGTGTGTTTGTGTGTGTGTGTGTGTGTGTTTGTTTTGTTCCAAGTTGCCAGCCAAGACACACTGGTCATGAATTCGGTGTGGGTTCTGGAAGGAAGCTTCAGAATGCAGCTTGCCAAGGAGGGGTAAAGAACAGCTTTGTGCAGCTTTGATTCAAAGCATGTTCTACTGTGAGTCGTGATCAAAACCTGAAAGCCTGCTGTACTAGAGTGAAGAGTCCCAGGGGTAAAGGAAATCCATGCTTTGACACGAAAGGAAGAGGTGACTTTCAAATTTTTCAAAGGGCCATTTAGAAATAATAAGGCAGGATTGCTTTAAGGATCTTTATGTACTTTGCTGAACAGATTAAAAGGAAGCCTTAAAATGTAGGCTTAGAAATCCAGGAAATAAACAAGTATTAAGCAATGTGAAGTAAGATGGAAGCAAGAAATGTTCAACAGAGCCTTTGCTTAATGTTGAAATATGATTCCCTAACATTCCATGGTGCATTCCTAATAACTATCATCCTTGGGACCAGGAAGCCTTGAACATTTCTCATTTTATTCCAGACTCCTTTGCAAAGTGAATTAAAACATTCTATAGGATGATGGTCCATATGTCAGACTAAAAAAAAAATGATCTCTTCTGTCTTTTCAGGCAGTTTTAAGTCAATCTGTGTCAATTCATTTCTTTGGTAATGCCAGGCAAAGAACAGCTTCTAAGTTTTAGGTAGAAATCATGACGATCACAGACTGTGACAGTTCCTTCAGCTCATTACCAGGGTACAGGTCTGTCTTTGGTGGGCCTGTAGTCTCATTTCCTCGTTTGGACTGTTGTTTGAACTGAGGTAAGCACCAGGAAACTGCACAGCTGCCCTCACACTTGGAGTTACCAAAAGAAATACTTTCCGGATATGTCATTTAGTGTTGTAACTTTGGATTTCAATAAGTTTGAAAGAAACTAACAGAGACTTCAGTGTTTCTTTTATTAAAGAAAGAAAGAAAGAAAGAAAGAAAGAAGGAAGGAAGGAAGGAAGGAAGGAAGGAAGGAAGGAAGGAAGGAAGGAAAAGAAAAAGATCCTATCAGTATTGCCAGAAATGTCTAAACAGTAAGGTCAAAGTTCTTAATTCTATGACCCATGTAACAAATTCCTCCTTGCATGTAGTGCTGCTACAAAATGTCTCATTCCTAAACAACTTAAGAGAAAATGAGAAACATATAGTATCATGCTTTTCTGTTGTGAAAATTAGAAACAGAGATGCAAATTTTATCTTTAACCACAAGCCAACGTCTTAGTGAGGGTCTCCTGTGACTTAACACAGCCCCCAGCACCTTATTCCTTCCTACTTAACTTAGAAGCGTTTCCCTTATATAAACCAGTGTTCACAGAGCCTAATGAAGTAACAACCCCTTGAAACACCACTCCCTGGCTACCTAACTTGAAAGCATAGACGTAACAGTCACAAGAAAACTTCAGGCACAAAAAGGCAACAAGACGTCATCACTGATATTAATTCATCAGCAAATAGCCAAAGTCCTACCATGTGGCAGGCAATTCACTAGAAGATAAAAGTCCAAAGGTGACTGCTCCTGATGCAAGTGGAATAAAGCCTTCTACACGATCATTTCCTGTGAAGAATAAAGACCAGGCTAGGCAGCTACAGTGGCCTGAGCTTTTGCTACATACTAAAAATACATATGGTTAAAAAAAAAAAAAAAGCCCCAACCCACAATAAACTTAGAAAAGAAGCTTTGTGGGGTAGCATAGAAATCAAAGGTTCATCCATATCATATTGGTATCATAATTGACAAGGAAGAATTCACTTTCTTCTCTTCCCACCCAGAGAAAAGGTACTGGGTCTGCATACAGGAAGATGGACTCACAGAAAACAAGTTGGCCAGCACCTTGAGCTACACGGCCCAGACTCCAAAACTATGGAAGTAAATTTTAGTCTGTGGTTCAGGCCACTTGAACTATGATATTTTGTTATAGCAGCCCCAGAAGACGGACACAAAGCCATTCAGTGTCTATTCTTAGCCACGCTCCCACTGACACCTGTGGTGAATGCCATGCTAATTACAAGTTCTGACCTAATTAAGTCAGTAACCAGAGGCAAGAATCACCTGAAGGGCCTTTGGTAAATCACTGTACTTTGCACATCTTAGGTTAGCAAGAGCTTTAAAAACGAGGTTGGATGACTGTCTTAGTCATTGTGCTATTGCTGTAAAGAGACACATGACTAAGGCAATTCTTATAAAGAAAACATTGAATTGGAGCCTTGCTTACAATTCAAAGCTCACCCTAGTGACACACCTCCTCCAACAAGGGCACACCTACTCCAACAAGGTCACACCTAATCCTTCCCAAACAGTTCCACTAACTGAGAACCAAGCATTCAAACATGAGTCTATGGGGCCATTCTCATTCAAACTACCACAATGAAGATTCTGCTCATCAAAGGTATGGATTCCCTCTGTGACTTTAGACCTAATGTCTAAACTTCAACTTCCTTAATGGACTAATAAAAATCTACTTGCATGGCTCAATAGCATAACGTGTTTCACATTCCTGGAAAACAGCAACCCAGTAAATATAAGGCACTCCTGTTGGGACTCGATGAAGAAGGCCAACTTTACTGATAGACTGTATGTGTATATCACCTAAGGGACTCAGGCCAAAGCTCCTCTGTGTCAGAACCAGTGCTTAGTTAGCATCAGGAAGGTTCTGTTGGTTTGAAGGGAAGAAAAAGAGCTCTACAGTTGGAATCCAAAGGCTAAATACTTCTTCAGGAGAACCTAAAATGCAAAAGATCACTCAAGAGAATTGGGCAGCAGTGATTGATAAATT